GACACTAAATGGCAATGACTTGCAGAGCTATAAGCTTTAATCGAGTGTGACACCTTAAAGTTATGGGTTGGATTTCTCTCGAGCCAGTTCACCCATACCCACATGACTAGTTTTACCTGGACAAATCACCTCAAAAGGTCAGTTTGTTGTTTTTGCCAACCTTTGGTTTTGAGGCTCAGAAAGCTTCTACAGAGGATAGTGGTTTTGAGGCCTGGGTTAGCCTTTATTACTTCAAAAGCTTATCTGCTCTGAGACAGATTCAAAGCTGAATCCAATCTTTTCAGTTTTCAAAGGCACCCTCACATGACTGCTGAAGGGTTGCTGAAGTCTGGGGGTGTGTTGTCTTAGGCCTGTTTGTCACACACCATGCCAGATTAAACCTGCTGCGTGCAGGGCTGGCTGCAGGCACTGTCTTTTGCAGGCAGGAATGCTCTCTTCTCCTGCTCTTTTCCATGTGAGACTTTCATGGCTCATGCCACTCTGTCCCTGAGATGGATTCCAAATCATCATAGTGATTTTCAAAGGCCAGGTTTTGGTAACATGTATTTACTATAGTACTGATTTATATCCTGCACCTGAGACTGAAGAAAGTTTGATAAATTTCAGGCACTTTGAAGAAACATTTGTTAATATGTCTCCAAAATCATCTTCTTGGTGCTCTGGCAGCATTTTTGTTATAGGTGATTTAACCTTAGAAATCTGGTGCCTTTCTGATAAAAGCTGATTCCTTAATCAATCAGGAAGTATGTAAACTTTATTTGTATTTCCTTTCATCTTTCTACCTGAATTCCCATCAGTTCTGTTCACCTTCCATAATGACTCCACTTTTCCCTTCTCCTACCAGAATCTGTTTTATTCACCTAGCACAGGCACAAAGCAGCAGAACAACAGCACAGGAAGGAATGAACCCTCAGCTCACCTTCAGTAAAACATAAGGTCATCAGAGAACTTTTGGAGAAATACCACTTTATTTTGGCCTGCAATGTGCATACAGGAGAGTGAACAGATGGGAGAAGACACAGCTCAGGATATGCAGCTTGAAGGAACTAGAGGAACTGAGCTGGCTTGGAGAAAAACTAGATCCAAAACACAGTGGAATTACAAAGTAATCCCTGAAATATTGTGGAGTTGCTATGGAGACATGCAGGTGCTCAGACTAACTCTGTAGACTAAAAAGATAATTTATAATTGTCTGGGAAAAATGAATTATGCTTTTCCACATAACTACTGTATATATTGTAATAAGTAAGGACCAAAAAGGACACAGTTATACAACAGTTGTTACTGTTCAGGGTTTCTGCCCCACACCACTTTCCAGGTCTTTGTGCTAATAGGAGTAAAAGTATTTCTAAAAAGCATAGACTTATAACCATATGCTAGATCTGTGCTGCTTCTAGAGAGGATTGAACTCTCCTGGGCACAGAGGTAATTTTGTTTTGTCTTTTAAAATAAATTCAATAACATTGTGTTAATTGTTGATGGCAAGTAAGGCCAAGTGTGTGCTCACAGTCCAGATCTCTTGTGCAGGGGATCGGGGCAGCTCTCTCTGCAGATCAATCAGTTCTTCAGCTAAGTGTGACGTGTATTTCTAGGCACACATTCCCAAACTATGTTCTTTCTGTAACTCTGAGCCAGAGCTATTCAATTAGCAAAATTGAACTGTTCCGTTCTGTTCCCATAATTTTTTTTAAATCTTGTATCTTCTACTCAGGTTTCAAACAGCAACACTAGCTGGAAGAATTTAATATTTCCATTTGACTAATGGCCTTTAGCTTAAGCTTGTTAATTTTTTCCTATTTTTAAAATTAGCTGCAAGTTTGAGGGGGGAACATTTGCAACAGCTTAGGTTTGTATTTTCTGCTGAACATTCAGGATGTTCCACAGTAGTGCTTGCCCTCAGTATGGAGCCTTCAGTCTCAGTTCTGCAGTCCTGTATTCAGGAGGCTGCTGCTGAGACTTTAAGCCAAGAACAGCAATGTGTTAAAGTACTAAACAAGCTTTCTGGGGAAACAGAGACCATGGAGTCATAATTGCAAAACACAGGGAAAGCTTAGATCTGCAAAGTGGTTTACTGTGGATTCTTTCATTTCAGGCCTAATCCTTAGTTATTCTACTTTGCCTGGAAAACCTCTTTTTTGTGCAACCATTTTTCTGTATATCTACTTCTACTATTCCAGTTGTATCTACAGGCCCTTTTCCTAGTCTGGCACACAGCACTGAGTGGTGAGCTATGCTGTTCCCAAAGTGGAATGAAATCCTAACCTGAAAAATAAGTTTAAAAACCCAAACACACCACACAACAAAATGGATTGAGAGCATGAAGGAAAATCCTGCCTTGAGAAATCCCAGTGGCCTCAAGATGAGCCAGCAGTACTGGTTCTCTTTACAAACCTATACTAGCTATCAAGAGGACAATGGTTATCATCATGTATGCATGTTTCCATACCCTATTTTATGAAGAGATACAATCTGTTGCTTCACTTCAATCTACATAGGATTAAATTGGACTTCTACACACACTCTCTTCTTCCCAGGAAGACACACCATACACCCTGGGTGATGCTTCTCCCAACTTTATGACATGGGGGTGCTGGGTACTGACTCTGCAATGCAATGAGTATTTCAGCCCAGCTTCTCTGTGCTCTGCAAACCTGATGCAACATGTCATTTTTCTGTAGGGGGTGGTTTCTGCATGAAAAGGGGTTACCTTACTCATTTTACACTTTTTGCACTGTTCTTGGTGGGTAAATGTAATCTCCCTGGAGCCCTGTAAATTATTGTGAAAAAGTGCAGATTCAGAAGATGAAAAATTCAACTTAGGTTTAGTGAATGAATTTTCATGTCAGGTCAGGAGATTTCTTTGTTTTCTGTTTTATTCTTCAAATAATATCTGCTTTCTTGCCTGTGCTTCACTGACAGAAGCTCTTCAGTGAAGCTGCCTATTTTCCTGCTCTTTTTCACTTATTCCCAAGCGGGATAGTCATCATGTGAGCACAGAAAACTCTCCCTTGACTCATTCTCATAAAACTCACTTTGCTTTTTCTCCCTGTAAAATTCACCTCAATAGTACAGTTCACCCATTCCAGCACATCTCAGGAGAGAGATTATCTTGGGAAGAAGAGGTTAAAGTATCCTGCTTGCATGACAGAAGTGTAAAATAGCAACAGAGTATGGCACCCAGATATAGTATGGGGCAAACTCGGAGCTTTTTGTTGACGTATTTTTTGCTGATAAATCAATACGTGCAGGTGAGCGATGAATACAAAACACCTAAGCCATCTTCAGGCTTTCAACATCCATGTATTTTAAAAAGTTAAATGGCACCCTATAAAGCTAAGATGCTTTATTCTACGTGCTAGAGCGCCAGCCGCTTTACCCCGTCCACAGTGACAGCAGCATCCCCGCCCGCGGCTGCGGAGGCAGGGCTGAGGGCTGAGCGCGGACAGCCGGACCGCACTCGCTCCGTGCCGATTGTCGCCGCCGGTGCCGCCCCCGCGCAGGTGCCCGGAGCGCGTTCCGGGGGAGCGGGGCCGCAGCTCGGAGCGCGCCCGGCGAGGCTCCAGCGGGAGGCGATCCCGGGGCGGGCGCTCTGTGCGGGGCTGCTCCTCCGGCGGAGCCGGGGAAGCGGCACCTAATTCCCTGGTAAGAGGCTTTCCCACCTCCGCCGTCTTTGTCTGCACAGCCTCAGCTGCTGCTGCCGGCGCTGGAAGCATTAGTGCTGCTGCGGGGAACCCGAGAGCGGATCAGCTGTGGGAAAGGGACCGTGTTTGCACCAGGTGTCCCGTTAGGAGGAGGACGCGAATTCGCGTTCCGTGAGAAGCGTGGGACAGAGGCCAGAGGGAAAACAGTGCACAAGGTGTGCTGGTAGCAGCGTGTTCGTAAGGAATCGTGAAGTTTCACGACAGACTCAGGAACAGTCAGAATTCCTTCGTGCTTCTTGGAGCTAGTTGGCAGGCAGAGCAATGCTCGAGTTGTTCCAAACTGTAACACTTTAACTTCGCCTCATTTTAGTGAGCTAAAAGTGCAAGAAAAGCGAGAATTACGGTGTGCCAGTGGCAGATCAGTTGGTCTCAAACTGCAGTGCAGGAGGACGCGCGGCTCAGCTGTGCAGTGGGCAAAGGACTGGTCTATTTCCAAGCATCGCAAATCTGTGAAATAAACCGGCAGCATAAACATAGAAGGGACGATTTAGCTAGAGCCTGAGTGGAGGTGGAAAGAGATACTGGAAGGAAGATGGGGGTGGGAGAGAGCCGGTCTGACAGCAACGCTTCAGCTGAAGCAGCAGCAGTCTTTATGAATTTGTGCTTCTAAAATTGGTTTGGAGTAGTGTCAGATGAGGCTGAGATTGATCTAGCAATAATCCTAGTCAAACATTTTCAGAGAAAAGTTTTCTTTGAAAAACACTTTATTTACTAGACCTAAGATACTTTGTTTGAAATCTGTCAACATTGATCAATTTCTGCTAATGCAGAGTTCTGCTAAGCCTGCCTGAGGACCAGGATTGCTGGAAACATCAATGTTCCCGTCTCAGGGGTATGCCCTAGCACCCGGAGTAATACCTGCTGCATGTGTTAGGGGCTTCTCAGCTGCAGCCCAAACTGCTTGGTGCCAGATTCTCCTCAGAGCAACCTTGTGGCTGCTCAGAGAAAGTGAGACTTGATTCTGCTGTGGTTACTGAAATGGTAGGACTGTGGAAGTCTGAGCAACTGCCCTTTTGCTGGGAACTTGGTGTGACTTAGGTCTAATGTAAACTTAAGAAATTAACAATTCGCTGAATATTTGTTGTTATGGTGTTGGGTTTTCTGTTATTCTTTTGATTTGTTTTTTTCACTTGGCTTTCAGCTAGCCCTAGCCAGAAGTTCTGCTTATAGAGATAAACTAGTTAAAAAGAAGAGATTTTTTGGTTTGGGGTGTCACATTGGAAGAAAAGCTACATGATTTTTGTGCCTCAGTGCATGGGTGTGGGGCTGGAATTGTTGGAGATGCTCAGGTGAGGTCTAGTGCTAGAACATAGACCTGTTCCCAGGCTGCTTTTGCACAGTCTTAGCTGTTCTGAGGATACATTAATTCAGCATGCTGGATGAACTTTCTATATTTTCAGGATGAGTTTGTTTTGGTTTATTTATTTGTTTATTTAAACTTTTGTTATTTTAGATCCAACATTTTGTACAAGCGTCACACGTTCAAGGGTGAAAGGACTTCCCAGCTGCTGAGGCTGTTGCATGTACTTTAGGCAATGTACCAAAGTGTCTGACAGACTGATTTCCTTACTGCTCTTCCAAACACTGACATCAGTTGGGAAGGCAGGGCGCTGCAGGAATATGACAACTTCCAGTAATAATGCTGCTCAAGGAAGGAGTTGAAGGTGGTGGTTACAAGCCCTGAATTGATCCTGCTGCATAAGAAAAAGCAGTCTCCTGCTATGGATCTTTCCTGATGTACAGCTCAGTCAGCTCTATGGGCCTGACTGATAGCTAGCTTCAGAAAGTGTGAATAATAGAGTGTGCGTGGCTGTCTGCCAGGAAAAAATGAAAACAGGAACAAGGTATTTCTTTTTTTTTTTCCTAATTGTTTTTTATTTTGTTTTGCTCTTGTTCTGCCCTTCCACCCTCCCCCAAAAAAATACAAGGAACTCTTGAGCCTGTAGAAGTGTTTAACTAGCATTCTTTAAGAGCCAGTAGATGGACCATAAAAAATTAACAGGCATTGAAAGAAGGAACTTCCAGGAACCCTGAACAACCTTGTGCTTGGACTGTGTGTGTGGCAGATAAATAGTGACTAGCAAAACTGTAGAAGGCTCTAAGGAATGAAAAAGTCGAAGTCTGGGAAAAACTTCCAGGGCACAAGGTGTTAGAGGGGAAATCTTCCTTGGGGACGAGTTATCTGTTTACTGCTTGTGCCAGTTCTTTCTTGGGAGCATCTAGTGCTGGCTGCTGCAGGAGCTGTGTGAACCATGTTGATTGCACATCTAAGTCACTGTATTAATTTCCATAGTGATGCAGAACTCAGGCAGGCTTTGCTGGCACTTCTGTTTTGCTGACTTGTGGAATGACTGCATAGATCTGGTGGCAGCTCAGTGCATAGCAGAGCTGGCATTACACTTGCTGGGTGGGCTTTGTTCACTGTGAATTTTCACAGCTCCGGATTGTTCAAATGCTCTTTGCTGAGATAGGGTCAGTTTTACTATTTCTGTTTGGATTTTACTGAAAACTTCCCAAAATAACTCTTAATTTCTAAACCAGATTATTTTTCACTGCTTCCCACAATGTTTTTGTGGGATTTATCAAGGTAGCCACATTCATGTGAAGCATTAAAAAACCAAATAATGGAGTACATGGTGTTTGTTTATTGATTCTGCGGCAGGTAAATGGACAAGAGCCCTTGGAAGCCTGGTCTTTTTGCAATTAAATGTATGCTTTTACTGCTTTGTTACTCTTAACTGTAACTCATCACTAGACAGCTCACCAACAGCAAGAGCTCTCAGCCATCAGCAGTTTCTAGTGCTTGCAGTTTCTTTTCCCCAGGGACTGAGAAGGAAGGCTGGCCTTTATTATATGTCCCACTAGTTATTGCATTTGGCCCAATCTAGATCAAAGGTGTTTGTAAATTATTGTTAAACATCTCTGTATTTTAAAATGATCACCACTCTGGAGCTCAATATTTGCTATCTGCAGACAAGGTGGGGGGGCTTAGTAGCAAATCTTGAATTTGACCTGGCAGAATGTCATGAAAACAGTGTTGGAAATTTTAGATAAAATACACATTTATTACTTATGTGTAATATGTCATGGGTGGAAAATAGTGAAAGGTTCTAGAAAGTGTGGCTGAGATTTTCCATAGTTATATGAAATAAAGGCAGTAGATGAGGACTTCATCCCTGGAGACTCATTTAAGAATCTCCACTGTAAACCTTGCAAAATACATAGCCAAAATTCATATGGAGTATAAATACTGTATATTTTGGGGGTAGGTAAATCCTGTGTATCCATTGGGAATGCCTTGATATATGCCCTTCAAAGGGCATCAAGACAGAACACATGTCACCAGTTCTTTTTGCAGGTGAACAACAGCACCAGAGTTTCTCCTTGGGAAGATAGGCTTGGATTTAAGAACATCATTTAACAGGTCACTGCTCCCTCAGCTAAGACAGAGTTTGTCTCCCAGTTTGGTCATGGCTTCAGTAAGATCATGTTTAGGCACCATCCAGATAAGAGGTTCATTACAAGGAATAAAAATGTTGTCAGCTGTTCTTTCCTGAGCTAGTAGTTTGACTTCTGTCATGTCCTTGATGCAGGATGAGAAACTTCTCTCATCAGGGAAGATTGAATCAAAGGGTCAGTTGGTTAATAGGAAAAGGAAAGAAAGACAGAAGGTGACAAACCAAAAAAGAAGAAAAAAATAGGGTTCAAGTTTACACATGAAGTTGCTCATTTTTTAAAAAGTATACTAATCCTTTGTGACTCTCTTCCTCTCAAATGTGCTTTATTTTTAAAAAGCTTTTTGGTTCCTCTTTAGTGTTTGTACTGGGCCTGCAAGGAAGAGCATCTGTAGGGAAAAAAACCCAATGCTTCTGAATAAATAGCTAGGCTTCCCCTGGGTCTGATCTGTTGATTCTAATGACCAGAATAATTTGTCACTCAGACTTACTTACTGCTAATAACTCTGTGCTGTTGTGCAGCTTGGGGAAAGGAGTTGTGCTTCTGTTCTTGTTGCCGGAGTTGAGTCTGAAGTTCTGCTTTCTCATTACACAAGAAATTCCATGAGCACACCACAGCAATATATGGGGGTCCACACATTGCCATGACTCCTAGGACTGAAACTAGAAACTGGCTTCTAGACATGGGATTTGGGTGAATTTTGCCTCTGGAGGACCATTTGAGTACCATTAACTGAAGGAAGCAACAAATTGACTCTGAACAACCTCCCCTATAGCACCAGTTAAATACTGAGGACGTTTTCAGTCAGATCTTTTACTGTAAGCACTTCTCTTGGCAGTGGACCTGGCCTTTACTTTCCTGGGAGAGGGAAGGTGATGTCACGGGATTATTGGTGGGAACTCCTCGTCTCCAAATTACTGCAGGATTTACAAAAGGGATGTCTTTGTTTAATGTCATCCCTAAATGTCTCCTAAAGCATTTCTTTGTTGAAGAAACTCCTTCAAAACCAATGGGAGCTGTAGGAAGACAAAGCCTTCTCTGCCTATTTATATTTGCTTTCCCTGTCACTGGCTCCGTGTCTCATCCAGGACAGAGGATTAATCTCTCTGATCCCTCTATTTCTAGTTGTAAAAGCACAGTGTGCTATTGAGGGTGATTCACCACTATGCCAATCCTTGTTATAATCTCTTGTAACTACGAATGCATCAGTCAGAAGAGAAAGGCTAATGGAAAAATGAGGCATATTTCTGTGTATCTATTTTTTTTCTATGTGCATATAAATATTTATGGGAAGATTGATGGATAAGAGAACAGGAAGTGATGCAATACAGGGCTCTGCCATGGTTTCATAACATGGGCCACATTATGGCAATAAATTCTTGTAAATGACTCTGCTTGCCCTATCTGAGTGTAGTTTTGTCTTCTTGAATATTTTCTGTGGCCTCCTTCAGCAAACCACTCTTAAGAGACTTGAATTTAACAGCATGATGAACTCTGCAACAGTAGGTTGCAAGTTGGCAGTAGCTTTTTGGTTCATCATACATAAGCATGCTGAAGTCTGGCATACCAGAGGAATGTGAAGAGCGTGAGGTAATAGTTTACCATAGGTAATGACAGAGAAGAAAACACACATGGGAGCAGTCTGACTCTGAAGTTGACAGTAGGCTTTGATTTTTCGTTCCCTTCTAGTAAATGACGTGAGTTCCCCTTGCAGTTCTGCATCCAAAATGTCCTTTTAACTGTAATTATTGTTAGAGCTTTTACAATAATCATGATGAGCTCGCCTGCCAAATCTGAGCTGAAAGTGCCAGGACTAGGAAGGACAGTTGTTGTCAGTGTTTTTTTTCCTAGTGCAATCTGTGACCATTGATTTCAATGAAACTGCTTCTATAAAATGTGTCTCTATGTGTATATATGTGCATGCATATAATCCACAAAAGCAGGTGGGCTGAAGATTTGCTGCTCTTTGACATTGCAAGTGTTCTCTAGAGGAAAGATTTTTTTTACACCAAACAAGATAAATGCATACTGAACTAAATGCTGTCTTGTTTCAATGGGAAGAAAAAAATCTGCTTAGCTTTAAAAAGAAAAGGAAGTTCTCTTGCAGCTAAAGAGGGATTTTTTTGTGAGAGACAGGAAATCTGAGTCTTTTTTCCTGCTTCTGGCCTGTTTTCCAGTTTCAGTTACTTCACCTATGCACACCTTTGTTTCCTGTAGCTCAGCTGTCATCTGTATAATGATATTTGTAAGGTTCTTGGATTTTTGTTTAAATTTTTAACCTGTTCTCTAAGGGGAAGTGGGCTTATGCAGTCACACTGCCAGTAACTTCTGAACCTGTTGGCTAAATGTCACATAATTGCTGGAACTTTAATGTTGCAGAAGGAAGGGAATATAAATTGCAATGTCACAGCTGGGAACTGCAGCCTCACCCTGTGCCAAAGCCCATGGAGATGGCACTTTTTAAACATGAGCTGGGCCACATGGATGAGTGGCCCCTGTAAAACCTACGACCACAGGATGCCAAATGCAGGATCTCAGACTGTGCTGATCCTTCTGCTGTGGAATGGCCTTCTTCCATTGCAAGGCCGTCTGAAAGCTTAGGAGAAATTTAAAGTATTGTTACCAAATTAGAGCTGGCACGATGCAGCAGACTCTTCACAAAATTTGTGTCTGAAAACTAAGGGGGTGGAGGGAGGAGAGATACCCTTGTAAAATTACATGATTCTTGTCAGGCTGGCTTGATCTTGGGAATTAGCAAAAAACAGTAGCAGGTTGGATTAAAATATGGAAGGGAGTTTTAACTTTACTCTTGGCATAATAAAACAGAAGCCAATAAAAACAAGATTAGCCTTCTAAACACATTGATGTTCTTATGCAGTGCTTTCCTATTGAAGCCTTGAAATATCTTCTGGTTTTGGGGCGTGAAAACTGTATATTGCCTCTTAGCAGCTCCTTTGTGCAAGGCATGTATGTTGTTTCTGTGATTATTTTGACAGTGATGTTCAGCTATTTGGCACCCTTCATCAGGGTCAGACCTGACAGGGCAGGATAACTCACACTGAGACCACTGAAGTTGAGTATTTCTGTTGTTGCAGAAATTCTTGCCAGTCATTGCAAAATTGCAAGGCTTGAAAGGTCTCTGTATTGTTCTGTTTAAGCTGCTGCATGCTTTGGCAGGGTCTGAAAAAGAGTCCTGCTCTAGTACGCCTGCAGAGCTCTGCATCTCCTGAGACTTTTTAGAGATGAGTATCTTTTTATGTGCCATCCTGGAAGTATAGGAAAGCTGCCCTGTGGTGTTTTCCAGGCAAACCATGGGGAACTTGCAACACTGTTGTAATTTGCAAATGGCAAGAAGTTCAAAATTACTATTCTTTGACCTTTCCTAATC